CTTAAGCTTCAAGGTTTATTTCAGCCGACGGCAGCCTACCATATTCGGGGAATACCATGTGGTTTTCAGTGTTTTCCAAAGTCAGCTTAGGCTTAGGTTGCCTCGTCACCAGGCCTGTCGAAGTCACTGGGACCAAAACTTTGGGTCCTGAGGTGCTCGAAGTTTGGCCCTGATTTTCACATAGGTCGCTGTTTTTTAGCCCTTAACGATCACGGGCGTAGGTCAATTTCAAAACTTGAGATCCGGGCTTCCTAAAATAATGTACGTGGAGCCCTAACGTCACAAAGGCGGGTGTCAACCTATAACTTAGCAGCGGGAAGGAGCACTCATCTGCATACCTAGCAAGGAGAGGAGGGGTAGGAGAGGGGAGTAGGGGGGTCGTAGGGCAAAACATCTTCAGCAAAATTCGTTTGTACAATCGCAAAGGATTTCCAATGTGGTTCGTTCTCATGTGATAGTACTAGTACTAGTGTGAACCGATGGGGCTGAGTCCCTTTGCGCCATGTAGGGTGTAAGTATCGCAGGTCCAGTGTAGTACTTAGAAATGTCTTAGAATTTTTTTGCAACTACAGCCATAGCATTAACATCAGAAAGTCATTTCTTACCGAAGTAGATAGAGTACGGGAGTTACGGGGAGGATAGAGCGGGAGGAGTGGACTGGCCCTTGGGCAACTTGCAGGGATACTTGTACTCCTGATCCTGGAAATCAGGGAAAGGCCCCCAACCAGCCCTTAACGGATCCGGGATAATACCCCAATTTCTCGAAATCAGCCCGTAATAAAAATGGGCTCCCCTCGAAACCAGCCCTTTGAAATGCCGAAGCTGGCCAGAGGTTCGCCCGGAATGTTCAGGGCATTAAGGGCAAATGCCCTTGAATCGACAGCCCTGCTCGTCACTAGTGTCTAACCTAGCATGTTAGAAGCGAGCCCGTCTCGCGCCGCTGACAGCGCAACGGTTCTCTCTCAAGAAGATTAGCTTGGCAGCCAATCGTGCCTCTGTGATCGGTCCCAAAGCAAGCGGGGGCACGGCCCCACTGTCAAAACCCACCAGACCAGACCTCCCTTGAACGGTGACATCGCTGAAGTTGATGCTGTGACACGCTGAGGCTGGTTGCTGGTACATTGTAGGGCACATCGGTTCGGGGGCACCAAAAAACGTCGCGATGGCTGCTGGAAACGAGGCTGTTTAGGACTTGGCCCAGACCGGGTCTGATTGCCTCGATCAGAAGCGATCAATAACTTCCAGGAAGCCCCTTTGCCAATTTCAGGCAATCAGGGGCAATCAGCTGATCGCGATCAACTGATCGCCCCAACTCGATCAACCGCCTCAAACAGCCCGATCAAACACAATCACACACAATCAGCCACGATCACTTGATTGCCTGGGATTGGGGATCTCAGCGACGCCCGCGAACAGGTTACAGCTGATCGTCATGCTCGTCAAGATTTCGAGCATGCATCTTTTAAAGTGTAATTTGCGAGATTACATGGAAACAATAAATTCGCTACGTCTTCGCTCTCGCCAGAATTGGGACGAAAGGTGAAGGAAATGCAGACTCGCTTGCGGGGCAGGCGCTATGAGTTTTCTAGGAATATCAGTACTGATCGGGCGGCGCGAGCATGCAACCAGAAGCAACCCGATCAGATCCGCCCCGATCAGATCAGAGCCGATCAGAAGCGAACTGGGCCACGTCCTTATTATTTCATGGTACAGTACCCTGACAACCTGTGGTTCGGTTTCGACGTTTTTTCGTTCGGGGGCCTGGTCCGGACCAAGCCTCGTGCGCGTCTTGCCAGTTGTGGAGACTGGAGCTTGTTGCCAACGGTCACTACATCTGTGGGTTATCTGGTGAAGATTTACATTGCAGCATCAGTTTGTTGATGGTGGCATCGTGTGTGCCGCTCTGTGATGCTTCGTGACGCTTTGCTTGAAACCTGCTGGGATGAGCTCCTTTGTATAGATTAGTCCAGTAGTTGTCCCGGGATTGATACAGGCAGCCACGAGTTTACTAAGGTATTTAACTCGGAGTCTTAGAAGTGAATGGACTCGAACACTGGGGGTCCTGAAGATCGAGACAACGTTTCTTTTAGAGGTAGAAGCTTCAATAGTGTGTCTCCGGGATCTCCAGACGCGTACCAGAAGCCAGGAAATCCTGTTCGACGTTCATTGCCAAACACGTCGTTTCGCCTGACAGAAGAAGAACGAAGCGAGACGAGTGCTGCCATGGAGCGTTGCAAATGTGGTGCTGTGGTGGGACTGGACGGCAAGGGAAAGCAGCAACCTCGCGGATCCGCCAAGTGTCTGCGCCTGTTACTCTTCGTCGGGATATTAACGGTTTCCGGGATCTTCGTCTATCGTACGGTGTCAGCTTATCCTGGGTACCATTTCTCGTCTTCAGTCGCTCCGATGGAAGATGTGTTTAAGTCGAGCGATTGCAGCGACACGGACGCTTACGAGCAACGGATGCTCCAAGACTCAGAGAAGGCATACATAGTAAGCCCGACACAAATTCTAAGATGGGACTTGTTAACCATCATTCACATTTGATCGATTCGCTTTATTGATGACAATGCAAGGTTAGCGTCGATTCATCGCTATTATAACACTATAATAACATTATAGCATTATAACATCATCGCTATTGTAACATTATAGCATTATAACATCATCGCTATTATAACATTATTGATAATAACATTGTATCATAATCACATCGGAAATTCCGACGTCGATTCATTGCTATTGCGGCCTGGGGGGTTTTCGTCGCAGGAAGCCACGGCGGTGCTAGCGGAGGCGTTCGGCGGGGCGACGCAGCCGCGGGACGTGGACCCGAAGCGCATGTGGGACTTCATCTTCGTCCCCACGTACCCGTGCCCGCGCGAGCGACGCATCGGCCGCGCTGGAGACGGCGGGAAGGTGAGGCGTTATTGTCACATTGGTTTGATTTTTATCCGTTGCTGTCACCCTGTTAAAATATTTGAGCCGAATTTGATTGCTCGTGATGTTATTCTCTGAAGCGGGAAATTGCCGCGCCATAGTGATTCAGATGGTAGCAACGGGCGGACATTACATTATTATGCAAACTCGCTGACAAAAAAGATGCTTCTCAACACATGACACAAATCGAAGTTTATTGCCCCCAAGCCTCCTTCCCCTAGTCCTTCAAGCCCCTGTTCATGACCCCCCACCCCACCCTCCACCCCTCCGATCCCCCATCGCCTCCCGCTCTTCTTGTCCCTAAAGCCTCCGATTCCCCCCGGATTCCGTTCCACTTCCCCGCTTCCCCTCCTTCCACCTTTCCTCCTATTATCTCCGTCCTTGTCTCCCCCGTGTCTCCCTGCCGTGACTGACTGTCTATCTGTCGCCCCTCACCTCTTGCTACCGTCTGTCCCTTCCTCTGTGCACGACCTTTTTGCACAGGAAACTTGCTTTTGAGGCTTCTGAAACTCCCTACCTCTCGTTTCTCTACTCCCGTCTATCCCTTCCTCTGTCGGCGGCCTGTCTGTGCAGTGGACGTGCGTCATGAAGGCGTTCTTTGCCAAGCCGAAGATCACCGTCTTCAGGTGAGCAGACCAAGTCAATCATCATCTTTTTAAATGGGTAATGCAGATAAAATGTGACCGTCTTCAGGTGAGCAGACCACCAAATCAGTCATAATATTTTTTAGATGGATAATGCAGATAAATATCACCGTCTTCAGGTGAGCAGACCAATCAACTGATACTTTCTTCTAGTAGGTAATGCAGATAGAAGATCACTGCCTTCAGGTGAGAAAATAGCTCATCAAGTATCGTGTCTGACGATGAGCAGATAAAAGATGGCATGAGGCTTCGTCATTGTTTTCCTCGTCTCCCCCCCCCCCCCACACTCCCCAACCCCCTTCCCTTGTGCTCGCAGCATTGGCAGCCACGGGGACCCCAGCTTCGAGAAAGCTGTACAAAAAGTCATCCACGCCAAGCCCTACACCTTTGACCCGTTCCTAAACGCGACCACACTCGCCGAGATGCAATCCCAGCCGTTCATGCGCTTCCGCAACGCAGGCCTTGTGGGGTCGCGGACCAAGGCGAACGCGACGCGGCAGTTCCCAGGGGTGACTTTTGTGACGCTAGAGGAGGGCATGCAGCAGGCAGGGAGGGACTATATTGATATTTTCAAGATTGACTGCGAGGGGTGCGAGTACCCCGTACTGGATGATCTTATGGAGCGCTACACTGCCAGGCGGAACCCTCCCATTGGCCAGCTGCTCATCGAATTCCACGGGTGAGTTCCCTAAGCGCTCTCAGTTCTCGTCAGAAAGAAAAGAGACTCGTGGCTGGTAAGAGGGGGGAAGTGGTTGCTGAAGTGGTTGTCACTGCTATTTGCGCTGTTTCCTCTGTTATTTGCAGAATGTTACTGCTTAGTCGTCTCTCAACCAGCAGCCTTGAGTACTATACTCAGGTCATGCCCTCTGTCTGTCCCGTCCTCTCCTCTCCCCCCATCCGTGCGCCCCCCTGCAGGGCAAGCACTCAACCCTTAATGGAGAAGTATTTTTACGGAATTCAGAACATGGGTTTCCGCTTATTTCACGTTGAAAGAAACGCGTATTTTCCGGGTTATTGTGCAGAGTTCTCCTTCATCCACGAGAGCTTGCTGCCAGTAGAAAAAGATGACGGAATCACATATTAGTAGGAACGTAATTTGGTGTGGCGCACTGGTTTGTTGGGGTTTTTTCCCTCCTACTGGAAAACGCCAATGCTATTTTATATAGAGGCTTGTTCAAGCCGATGGTGATTTATATGCTGTGGTCGTAACATTTGTAAGAGACATATTCTGTTATGATAGGGGCACCTTTGTGATCCGACAGGCCCTGCCCTTCAGCCAGCTTAGTAATCAGTTGATAAGCAAACTATTCAACCTGGCCACCTCTGCTTTTATCAGTTCATAGTAGTCCGCATAAAACGAATCGTATTCTCCATAATCTACAGCCGCGTTTGGCCTCTCAAGGTAACTTGGGCGATACGTTACGCGGCGGTAACCAGTTCTGGAAATGCGATCAAAGTTGCCAGCATCACCAGAGGATCCTTTGCGAAGGTACAGACGAGCAACCTGGTGGTGCTCATCATTTCAATAAGGGGAAGGGAGAGTGATGGAGCAGAAGGGTGAGTGCGATGGAGGGAAGGTATGGCATGATGGAGGGAAAGGAAGGCATCCCCACTCCCATGCATCTCAGCACACCCCTCCTTGCTACCACCAGAGAACTGAGAATTTCCCCCTATACCTCTCACCTGGTAACCACACAGCCACACTCATGCTGCCAGCTGCCATTTCGACACAATCGCTGCCTCGCCCTCCCGGTCGTCAGCCTCATCCAGCCCACCCAGGCGCCACAGCAGCACGTTCCACCCGCCTCACCTGCTATCCTTATACGAGGTGGTTTTTGAGAATTCTCAAAAACCGCCCGCCTCACCTGCTATCCTTATACTCCGAATGGGTTGAAAACCTCACGTAGTAACCAGACAGCCTCACACGAGTAGCAAGCTGCCAGTCCGACACAATCACTGCCTCGCCCTCCCAGTAATCAGCCTCATCCAGCCCACCCATGCACGGACCTTCGTGGCCCTCCAATACCCAAAACAGCAGAGACCTACCTGGTAACCAGACAGCCACACTCTTGTAGGCAGCTGCCAGTCCGACACAATAGCTGCCTCACCCTCCCGGTCATCAGCCTCATCCAGCCCACCCAGACGCCTCAACACGTTCCGCCGCACCACCAGAGGCATCCCCGTCACCAGCCCTGTGAAATGCATCCCCACTCCCGTCTCTGGGTCTCTCCTCTTCTTTCTCTCCACCTCATCCTCCTCTCGAGCCAAATCCGCCCAGAAGCTGACGATTTTGCCGGTTGTTGGGGCGGCAAGATTTGTCATATTATCCGTCCGATAGCCGACCATTCCGAGCCTGGGCCACGCGAAAAACGCGGAGAGCAAATCCTGCAGCCAATCACAGCTCTCGGGCGGCAAGTAGTCGTCCTGTAGCAGCACTAGCAAGTCGCCTCGTGCCATCCATGCCAGATCATTATACCCCCGGGAATTACCCACTGAATGGGGTAGTACCGGCACGACAAAAATCCCCGCATCGGTTTCTTTCCACATTTCCATCCACTGCCCGAGGGTTTTTTCCGGCTCAAAAACATTGACAAGCAACTCTGCCCGAACTCCCGGTAATTTTCCTGTGCCCAGCATCCCATTTGTACACCCATATAATCTCTCCACCAACGGTTTTACCCGCTCCGGAGCCCCATAATACCGAATCAAGAAGGTAAAATGTGCCCGAACCTCAGGGTACTGGTCCGGAAACAGGTCCGGATCCTTTTGCCAGACGTATGGCGGAGCTTCCAGGCCCGGCCGATCCTCGTACCCAGGTTCGAGCCTCTCCCAGTCCATGCACTGAGGCTCGGCACCAGCTGCGGCAGCTACAGTGTGAAACCAAGCCAGAAACTCGTCCTGCTGTGCCGTCCAATTACTGTGTGGTAACCGCAGCCCGCAATCCCCTAAAAGCCTATCCTGAATCCGCCGGAGAGTGGTCGATGCTGACGTGGCACGTGCCAGGCTGGCGTCCCGATCGGATTGCGCATCAGCGACGAATGCTGACGCGGAGGGGTGGTCGGGCCCCTCTCGGTCGAACCAGAAGGAGTAGAGCTGATACCACATGACGAAGGCTTCAAGCCGTGTCTTATTGGCTGTTGGGTGGAATGAAGGGAGTGGGAAGCAGGAAACAACACTTGAAAAGAGAAAGGAAGGGGAGGAAACATGGGTACAACTGCTGGTGAAAATGGGTGGGCGGTACCCATTCCAGCTCCCTGAGGCGCCCCAGCATGAACTGCCTCGCTGTCCCCGGGTTGTTACTCGGGCGGGTGGGTTTTTACTCGGTTGTCCCTGGGTTGTTACTCACTGTCCCTAGCTGTACAACACTCAAGCCCCACGTCCCACTCATGGTTTTTAGCATCCATGGCCTTGGCAGTGGCGTTGGCCTGGGTGGCACTGATCCCCAGTTCTTTCAGCAACGGCCGGTACGCGTCCAGTTCCTTGAGTGGCGCCAGCATGAAGAGATGCACTGTCACCAGCATTTTTGAGGCGCCTCAAAAGGCATTTTTGAGGCGCCTCAAAAGATGCACTGTCACCAGCAATACACCACTGATCTCCACCTCCCCGTACAATCACCGCGGTGCACCGTGAGTTGTACAATCACCGCAGTGCACCGTGAGTTGTACAATCCATCCAGCTCCCTCAGACGCGCCAGAACACTCCCATACAACCCCACACACAACTCACGGTTCTTAGCATCCATGGCCTCGGCAGTGGCGTTGGCCTGGGCGGCGGCGCGGCGCTGATTCCCAGGTCCCTCAGCAGCGGGCGGTACCCGTCCAGCTCCCTCAGTCGGCCCAGCATGAACAGATGCACTGTCACCAGCAATACGCCACTGAACTCCACCTCCTCGTATAATCACCAGCCGTACAATCACCCCACTGCACCGTGAGTTGTACAATCACACCCCACACCCTATCTCTGACTTACGGCCCCACACACGACTCACGGTTCTTAGTATCCATGGCCTCGGCAGTAGCGTTGGCCTGGGCGGCAGAGATCCCCAAGTCTTTCAGCAACGGCCGGTACCCGTCCAGCTCCTTGAGTCGCCCCAGCATGAACTGCCTCACCGCCACCTCCCTGTCCCATTGCTGGTAGATCTGCAACGCTGGTGGAGGAAATGGAGAGGTTGGGGTTGGGGTTTGGGGTTGGGGTTTGGGGAGAGGGAGAGGGAGAAAGAAAGGAAGCAGCAGCAGCACAGTCCTGAGCAGCACTGATCCCAGCACCATCAGCAGCGGCTTGTATCCGCCCAGCACAGACCCCTCAGCAACGGCCGGTACCCGTCCAGCTCCTTGCTTGAGACGCCCAGCATGAACTGCCTCACCGCCACCTCCCTGTCCCATTGCTGGTATATCTGCAACGCTGGTGGGTGGGAGGGGAGGAAGCAGTGGGCTGAGCATGGCACGGCAGGTCTCTCAGCAACAGACGGTACCCGTCCAGCTCCTTTAGGCGCCCCAGCATGAATTGCCTCACCGCCACCTCCCTGTCATATTGTTGATACACCTGCAAGGCTGATGGCGAAGAGAGACGGGAGAGGGGAGGGGGGATGGGGGAGGGGGGAAGGGAAGAGGGTGGGGAGAGAGGAAGCAGTGGCAGATCCGCAACGATAGAGAGCACAGGTGATCCGCAGCGCCCTCCAAGCCACCGCAAGGCACCTACTCAGATCCCTCAGCATTCCTTCTGAGTCGACTCAAAAGTCACCTGGGGAGGGGAGGGTGGGGAGAGAGGAAGGAGTGGCACATCCGCAACGATAGAGAGCACAGGTGATCCACAGCACCTTCTAATCCACCGCAAGGCACCTACTCAGATCCCTCAGTACTCCTGGAGTTGCTTTTGAGAATTCTGAACTCCTGTAACGCACCCCAGTCACCCACCTGCTTGAAACCTTTTCTCCAGCCCCTGAGCTCGACTATACATCTCCAAACACTCCACCAGCGGCCCCCTCTCTTCCCTCATTGCATACTCATGTCAGAATAGAATACCCGTGTGTGAGCACCCGAACTACCCACCTGCATGCAACCTTTTCTCCAGCCCCTGAGCTCGACTATACATCTCCAAACACTCCACCAATGGTCCTTCCCTTCTGTCATTTCAACCCCCTACCAGAATACCCATGTTAAACGACCCCTCCTTCCAGTCACCCACCGGCTTGAAACCTCTTCTCCAGTCCCTGAGCTCGAGTATACACCTCCAAACACTCCACCAGCGGCCCCTTCTCATCCCCCCTCCTCCCCCCCTCCATCCCTTCCTTCCCGCCTCTCCTCTCCCCCCCATTCTCCCCGATCTCGCCCCCTTCCGCCCCAGCTCTCCCCTTATCCCGCTTCCTCCCCTCGCTCTCTGCAAGCTTCCTCAGGTCAACAGTGGTGGCCTGCAAGCTTCTTAGCACAGCAGATGCCGCCTCTATGCTGGGCGCTCTAAGAATCGCCTCTGCTGTCGCTTGATCCACCACCGTTGCCTGAGTGTCTGCCTTATCCCTCTCCTCGCTCAGTTGCTGTATGGCTCGGTCAAGAACGGTGTTGAGGTGTGCTGCATCCCTCTCTAACCGCCTGTCCATATCTTGAAGCCAATAGGCCGCGTCCTGGTTGTGCTGCTGCAGCAGACGCAGCAGGGGGGAACTGGAAGTGGAAGAGGCGAGCAGAGGAGAAGAGGAAAAGGAGGGACTCGAGTGTATTTAAGAGTATATCGTCTTTTATTTTTCTCTCTCTCTCTTTCTCATTGCAAACCAGTGGGTGGGTGGAAAAACATGGAATACTTGGGGTACATTTCCACTCTTGCCGAATTCTGTCTTTCACCCCCACTCACCTCCTCTCAGACAGCAAAACAGATAAGTGTATCTTATCTCCCTTCGTCTCATCCCCCCTTTCTCTCCTCCTCCCTTGCATAGCCCTTGCCCCCATTTCCCCCAATCTCCCAATCTCCCAGTCCCTGATCCCCCAATCTCTTCCCAAAATCTCCTTCCCGCCAGTCACTTCCCACCCCTGCTCCTCACCTCTCACCCAAATCAGGGTACAACGACCAATCATCATCAGCCACGTCATCCCCTTTGCGTTCCCAGCCCGAATCTGCCTGAGACGCAAAACTTTGGTCCCCAAGCTTGCTGTCAAGGAGGATGGAGAGGTCGTCGTGTGCTGACGTGGATGAAGGTGATTGGACAACGGGGGACGAGGGAGAGGATGAAAGGGAGGAAGAGGGGGAGGAGGAGGCAGAGGAGGTGGAGGAGGAGGGGGAGGAGGAGGAGTAGATGGGAGAGAGGAGGAGGTGGAGAAAGGCGACAAGGAGAGCAGCGGAAATTCCAACGGCTATTCTGCCAGATGTGCTGCTTGGTAGCAACCTTGGCGAAATGGCATTGCACAGCCTGGTTAAGTCCGGTTGGTGTGGGATTCTGCTCGGTAATAGCCTTGTCATGGTGAGAGATACATGGCTAATTATCGCATGGAACCAAGAAATTATACGATTGAACCATGGGCTGCTATTGCCGCCACCTCTCCCTCCTCCGCCGCCGCCGCCGCCGCCGCCGCCGCCGCTGCTGCTGCTGCTGCTGCTGCTGCTGCTGCTGCTGCTGCGGTTGCTGTCAGCAACGCTGGCGGTGCTGTTGCTGACATCTCCAGCTGCTCGCGAGGCGCGCGAAGGCTCCTTCTCTTTCCTCGCCATCGACTGCAGAGATACTTACGCGAAATTCTTAAAAATCATTCGGCATCGAGTTTTCCGTCGTTTCAAAACTCAATTTACTGCAGAGTGCGGCATTGCTCATGTTTCGCGTAATGGCCGCGACACGGTTTCAAGGGCGAGTTGTGACATTTGAGGCGGCCCACAAAAGCCTCTGCTTGCGTCCGCTTTTATCGGAGCGCGTCACGGGTTCGGGTGAGGGAGGCGTACAGGGGGAGCGTTTTGACGTCTGTAACATTTTATTCGTGCTTTGCGTCTGCTTATATCGGAGCGCTAGCCCCTTGCATTTCTGAACCCTCCTAGCCCACAGAAGTGGTCAGGCACGAAGCCTGGCCCGCGCAGTTTCGGAAACCACCTCAGGGGCTGCGCCCTGCGTTCGGCCTTCACGAGCTTCGTTTGGAAATCCGCGACAAGGTTACCCGAATCATTTTCCCAAACTTCGGCAAGTTCGCGAATCACAACCAGTTGCACATGTCCTCGGGGAGTGGGTATTGCGGCCGAAATTTTCTACGTTTGAATTTCTTTGTTGATTTCTGTTTCCTCCGCAATGCAGCTACTATCCTGAAGTGGCCCAGCGAGTACTGGTTCACTTCCGAAAGATGAGGTCCCGGGATCAAATCCCCCCTGCGGCGTATTCTGCCAGCCCTCAAAAGGGGCTACACAGGTGCTCATCTGGGAGTGGATAGAACAACCTCGTTGACCCAGCGAGGAGTGTAAACAAATGGGGAGGCGGGTTACGACCGACAGCCAGGTGTGGTTAACACCCAGAGGGGTTTCCCCCCCTCCTTTACCTTTACCTCCGCAATGCAGCTACTGTACACCATGGCCATAGGTTTGCCTTCACCACTTTCGCCACTTTTCATGGCCGAATCTTCGCCACCTTGTGAACCTGTCAGGCCAGTTGCCACTTTCTGTTTTCATTTTCATGTTTGAATTGTTGGGATCTCTTTGTTTCAAATTAGTGCTGCTCTTCAAATGACGCGAGAAGGATTGATCGTGTACGTGATCGCAACTGGTCCGAAAAATAACTACTGAATCGCGTTTCAGAAAGATTAGATCCGCCATTCCTACTTCTTCCAGAGATCAAAACCGCCATTGTCACCATGCTGCCGAATCGCGCGATCATCGCGTCGCAGTTTTGGAACCACGAGTGCGGCTCGGCGCAGTCGCTCGAAGCGGTGGTCCCCGCTGTCCCCCACGAGCCGCCTTCAACCGGCATTCATCTGGGTAGCGGAATCGCGCGATCACAGCAACTGCTGCTCCTGCAGAAGCTCCTGCCAAGTACCGCTCGTTTCTCCTTAACCTACTTTCACTGAGCCGTTTTCCCCCTTAGCCATTCTCCCTTCCTGCCGTTACCACCCATTGCCTTCCTTGCAATCTGCGGTTGGATTTCCTATCTCTTTTACCCTAACTTCGTGATTCACCCTCTCCTTGCACTTCCCTTTCCTCCCCCATTCCATCATCTACCTCATATCCGCCACCGCTACCCTTCCTACCCTTCCTGACACCGTCTCTTTCTCAAGTGGTCATTGCGTCGTCTCATTCTCATTCTCATTCTCTTTCTCTTTCTCCTCCTCTTTCTCTTTCTCCTTCTCTTTCTCTTTCTCCTTCTCTTTCTCTTTGTCCTTCTCTTTCTCTTTCTCCTCTTTCTCTTTCTCCTTCTCCTTCTCTTTCTCCTTCTCTTTCTCCTTCTCCTTCTCCTTCTCTTTCTCTTTCTCTTTCTCTTTCTCCTTCTCTTTCTCTTTCCCTCTATGCGACCTCTCATTCTTCTCTTACGCGCGTCCGCCCCGTCCTTTATTCCTCTCTCTTCCCGGGCGGCAGTCCCTTTCACGCCATCCTATGCTGCTGACGTGGACGATCAAGGCGGATGGGTGGTTGACCGAGTGCTCTCTGGTGTGGGTGGCAGGGACTGGTATGTACAAACCCTAGCCCCAAACCAACCCCATATGTTACCATGTCTTGCCATATCTCATCATGTCCTACCACACTTAACCTGTTCTTACCATATCATGCCATTTCTTGCCATTTTTTCCCGTACCTTTCTATACCGTACCAGACCTTCCCATATATTGCCATACTTTGCATCGCTTCCTGCTGCCATCAGGTGGGCGACAGTAATGGGGCGCCTGAGAGTCCAACGCATGTGGAGAAAGCATTTCCAGCAGCAGACCAACGCAAGACTAACTAGCGATAGCGCTCATACAGCAGCTGCAGCATTAGCATCAGCAGCAGCTGCGACTGAGAACACCACAGGCAGCAGCAGCAGCAGCAGGGCCAAGGGGTACCCCAGCTCCTCTTCAGGATGGTTCCAGGATCCTACCATGTACGCGCTCTCAGCCCGTACGCGCATTGCGCTGGGGAAGCAGACTTGGCTAAGCGGCAGTGCTGAGCTAAGCACTCTTGCAGGCCTGGCGGCAGCACTTCAGGGCAAGATGATGGGACGACAAAGGAGGGAAGGTGGTGCTGTGGCAGGGAGTGAGGAGGGGGGTGGAGAGCGAGGAGGAGAGGCTTCAAGTTTCAGAGGCTTTGTCTCGCTGCGCCATAAGGTACACGGGGCTCTTGTGATGGGCAAGGTGTCTTCTTGAGTAGGCTGAAAAACCGACTCGTTACACTTATTTTTTTTTTTTTACATTCAGAGGCTTTGTCTCGCTGCGTCGTAAGGTACACGGGGCTCTTGTGATGGCTGAAACCCTTTTGAGGCGCTCTAAAATGGTTTTTGAGGCCCCTAAAAAACAACGGCTTTGTCTTGCTATGTTATAACGTACGCGTGGCCTTCACTCGTCACGAGAGAAGGGCTCCACCCACGAGCTGGGTGGTGGGGTGGGGGAAAAGCGATTTTTGAGGCGCCTCAAAAATCGTCACGAGAGAAGGGCTCCACCCAGGGGCCACGAGCTGGGTGGTGGGGGGAAAGCGTGTCGTTACTGTTATAAGCTGACTCGAGTTCCTGTTCCCCGTGTTTTGCACATCTGTGTACGCATCCTCATCCTCAGATGAAGGGCCATGACCTCATAGCGCGAGTAGGGTGGGGCGAGCAGTGTGTGGACCGTGCTGGGCGCTACTGGACCCCCTTCAGTCTTCTAAAACACCTTGTTCTGCCCTCTCCCCTGCACCGTTCACACGCTCTTATGCACCCAGATGAAGGGCCACGATTTGATCGCGCGAGCAGGGCCACCCATTTTTCAGTCTTCAACATCCTGTTCTGCCCCCTCCCCTGCACCGTTCACACGGCCTTATGCACGCTCTTATGCACGGCCTTATGCACCCAGATGAAGGGCCACGATTTGATCGCGCGGGCGGGGTGGGGCGAGCAGTGTGTGGACCGCGCTGGCCGCTACTGGACGTTGCCCCGTGCGCTCTCCCTGGACTTCGCCTCCCTCGTCACCAGGGAAGGGCTGCGCTACCGCTTCGGTTTGCAGCATGTCGGTGGGAAGCCAGAGGTACGGCCAGAAGTGCCTTTTGAGACGACTCAAACGTCACCTCGCTTTGGCCTGCAGCACGTCGGTACGGCCAGAAGTGCCTTTTGAGACGACTCAAAAGCCACCTCGCTTTGGCCTGCAGCACGCCGGTGGGAAGCCAGAGGTAAGGCCACAAGTGCTGCTGCTCGGTCGACCAAAACTACTGGACGCTCCCTCGTGCGCTCTCCCTTGACCTCGCCTCACTCGTCAACAGAGAAGGGCTGCGCTACCGCTTCGGCCTGCAGCACGTTGGGGGAAAGCCAGAGGTAAGACGCTTCATTCTCTTGAAATTGTAGTTGTCCCTACTCTCCTGATTGTGGTGCTGCTTGCTCAAAGGGCGTCGCGTCGCCTCTTTTGTCACCAGGGAAGGGCTGCGCTACTGCTTCGGCCTGCAGCATGCAGGGGGGAAGGCAGAGGTACGGCCTTTCCCGTCTAGTATTCTCCGTGATTCATTTTTTCCTTGCGGTGCTGCTTGCAACAGGGGCTCCGGCTTGCCTGTCACTCACTAGAGAAGGGCCACGTGTAGATTTTTTTTTAGAATTCTTAAAGGCCATGCATAGAAAGTTTTTTAGAATTCTCAAAGGCCATGGTGTCTCCAAAATTCACTTTGTACAATAGGGGCCCCGGCCGGCTTCCCTGTCTCTAGAGAAGGGCTGCGCTTCTGCTTTGGCCTGCAGCAGCAGGTTGGTTGGTGGGGGATGCCGGAGGTAAGGATTTCCCTGTTTAGCTTCCCTCCTCCCTCCTCCTCCTACTTCCTCGTCCCTCCTTCCTCTACCTCCTCTCTAACTTCTCCTTACTCTTTCTGCTCGGTTGCCAGAGCTTCAATCCCCCCCTCTCCCTCTTCCCCATCCTCCCCACGCCCCCCCATGCACGCACGCACGCAGGAGAGTGCATGGCAGGAGCATGGGGCAGACTTTTGAGACGTCTCAAAAGATTCCCCCTCTCCCTCTTCCCCATCCTCCCCATGCCCCATGCACGCACGCAGGAGAGTGCTAGGCGGGAGCATGGGGCAGCGTTGGTGGTGCCGTGGGGGGTGAGGGCGGGCACGCGGGCACAGGCAGGCATGTCGTTGGAGGGGAAGGTGACCGTGTGGAAGGACCGATGCGAGAAGAGGCGGCGACAGAAGGAAACCTTCGAAGCACCTGCTTGGCTCTCTCTCTCCCTCAAATCTCCCATTTCCCCGTCTCTCCCTTCCCTACCCATCTCTCCATCCCCCTCCACAACCCATGCATGCGTGCAGGAGAGTGCAAGGGGGGAACACGGGGCGGTGAGGGTGGTACCGTGGGGGGCGAGGGCGGGCACGCGGGCACAGGCAGGCATGTCTCTGGAGGGGAAGGTCACTGTGTGGAAGGACCGATGTGAGAAGAGGCGGCGGCAGAAAGAAGCCGCCAAAGCTGCATCCTCCTTTCCCTCCTCGTCTTCCTCCTCCTCCTCGTCCTCCTCATCATTATCAGCTGCAGCATCAGATGCACCATTCCCATCCTCCTCCTCTTCTTCCTCCTCCTCTTCCTCATCCTCCTCGCCCTCATCTACAATCTCTTCATGTTCAGTGAACTCTCCTGCTCTTAACCCTTCCTACAACTGGCTGGCCGCACGCCCTCGCATCACCCTATCTGCTGTGCTGGGTGAGTCTCATCGCTGTTATACTATCCACTCTACTCCTCTCTACTCCTCTCTACTCCTTTCTACTCCCTCTTCCCCCTCGTTGTCCCCTCCTCCGCCTTCTCTTACCCCTTCCTACAACTGGCCGGCTGCTCGTCCGCGCATCACCCTATCTGCCGTGCTGGGTGAGTTTCAATGCTGTTGAGTTATCCTCTCAATGGCTTGTGCTCCTCTTAAAGAGGGCGTCTCATATTTTCTCCGTTTTACAGTTGGTTGGCCTCCCTGACTGGTTGGCGAATCACAAAATCTGTGACGAGCTGGGGTGGGGTACCTTTGTGCCGACACCAATCACGGACGTGCATTCCCAACCAACTGTTAAACGCTTGAAAATACGAGACGCGAGCTTTAAGTTTTCAATGTTTTGGAAGCTTCTGTTATATCTCCCCTTCGAGCTTATGATGACGTCTGCTTCTCCTTCTTCTTCTTGTGTTCCCACAGTTTTCAATGTTTCGGAAGCTTGATTTTTTTAAACACGCGCACGCCCGCACGTGTGCAGACATGCACACACACACACACACACACACACACACACACACACACACACACACACACACACACACACACACACACACACACACACACACACACACACACACACACACACACACACACACACACACACACACACACACACACACATGCATGCTCCTCACCCATCCCGCTTCAACAATTCACTCTCCTGCAGAAGGCCTGGCTTCCCACCGAAATTTCAACCACCAGCAGCAGCAGCAGCAGCAGCAGCGGCAGCAGCGGCAACATGGTTTTTGAGTCGACTCATCAACATCCATACTCTCCCACCCATTCCCCTCCTCCCCTTTCAGGGGGCCTGGCTTCCACCGAAATCTCAACCAGCAGCAGCAGCAGCAACAACACCAGCAACACGGCGACAACGCAAAGCCAGGCATCCAGCTCAGGGGTAAACGGAGGAGGGACAGCAGGGGCAGAGGACACAAAGGGGTCCTTCCGTCTCTCCTCTCTCCGTCCCTCCTCTCTTCAGCTCTCCTCTCTCTCTACCGACCTCTTTGCATCCGTGGCGGTAACCGCGCAGCTTGGCATGTTTGAGCGTGCTCTCTTCGATCACACTCTCTTCAACGCCACGCTCACCTGCGGCTCCCTCTCTGCTGCCGGCTACAACCTCTCCCAACCCGCATCCGCCACCTCAGCGCCGGTACCGGATGCCACGTCAGCGGTGACGTCAGGTGCCACGTCAGCAGGCTGGCGGAGAGAGGAGCGGGGCGCGCCGACGCTCTCCCTGTCATTTCAACAGCAGGTGTGTGTGTGTGTGTGTGTGTGCGTGTGTGTGTGTGTGTGCGTGTGTGCGTGTGTGCGTGCGTGCGTGCGTGCATGTGTGTGTGTGTGTGTGTGTGTGTGTGTGTGTGTGTGTGTGTGTGTGAGACTGAACTGAGTGGGACATGTAATGTCAAGTATTGATGAAAGTGCTGCTCTTTTCTTGCCCCCCTGTCCTGTTCCTTGACACCTCGTCTGCCCTCCTCCTCTCCCTTACATCCTGTCTCCCCCACTCGTTTCCCCTTTTCTGCAGATTTTCGGCCCAGTGAGGGGTCGCTGGGATGCATGCATGGGTGTGGATGCCAAGGCTCCCCTTGCTGCTCCCACCTCGCTTGATTCAACCTACGCCCTCGATTGCTCCCTGGAGAGGCTCGGAGCTGCCAGGCTCGTTGTCTGGTATTCCCCAACCAGACGGGAAGGCATGGCGGAGGTTCGGTTGCTGGACCGGTAGTTGATGCTATGACCTACGAACCTCGGTGGGTATGGTACGTTCTATACACTACACTGCTGCTGCTGAGGTTCTCACGCAGTGAATGTAGCTAGTGAAGCTTGCTGCAGGCTTTTCCAATCGCAAATCTTCGTATGTAAGGAAGTACTAAGATTGCTATTCCCATTTATCTGACCTACAGGTACGGTAGGTGCCTAATTCTACAGGTGGCAGACATGGTAGGTAAGGAACCGAGTGTAAGATAGCTGCGAAATTGCTTGCTCAAGAGAGACTAACCAATAGTTATCCATTCAAATCAAAGCATTTGAATGAAAAGTGGTAAGAAAAATGTTCTGAAAGCTCGAATCACTTGTAGTAGTTCAACTTTACTCCACCTCACTCACTACCGTACCCTAATTCTATGCCCTTTCAGTGAAGCATCTAGATCACTCTATCACACTACACTGTCACAGACATCATGATACATACAACCTTGGAACAAATGGTTCCTTCCAAGTTCCACGATATTACCCCGGACGACATTTCCACTAAAAACGAATGTCCCTGCAACGTACACTGGAGCACAGGAGACTCCAAAATTTATGACTTTATGGATTGCGACCCTGTAAGGTCACGGTATCTAACAGGTTTCCACCTGCATCACAAGTCATGCACCTTCATCTGCTGCACATACCACCAGTCTCCATCCACTTCACATCTTCAGATCTTCCTCATCGTCATCCCAATTGCATGGCTCTCAAACCTGCATCACGAGCTTCCCAGATCGTCCTCAGCGCCACATGCCAGGCAGTCAAGAGGGCGAGTCAGTCAGTCAGTCAATCGACATGAGCTGGCGGAAGGACTGGCTGTTCATCTCCACGTCTGTCAGCCCGGCATGGCCGTTCAGGATGTCTCTGCGACTCAACCCGTGCATCTGCGACTCCCGCATCATCGCCACAAACTCGTTGTAGTCTATCGTGCCATCCTGCAATGTAGAGAACAGTGAGGAGAGGGGCGGGAACGGTTGGGTGAAAGAGAACGTATCTGCGACTCAACCAGTGCGTCTGCATCTCTCGCACCATCGCCACAAACTCGGTATAGTCTATCGTGCCATCCTGCAGCATAGGCAACAGTGAGGGCAGGAAGGGGGAGAGGGAGAGAGCAGAGGAGGGGTGGGAGGGGGGTTTGGGGAAAAGAGTGTGTCTCTACGACTTAACCTGTGCGTCTGCATCTCTCGAATCATCGCTACAAACTCGTTGTAGCCTATCGTGCCGTCCTGCAGCGTGATCAGCAGTGAAGGATTTTGGGTTTAGGGTTGAGGGGAAAGGAAGGGAGGGGAGGGGGGTGAGGGAGGGGGAGTTGGGGGAAAGGGTGTGTCTCTGCGACTCAACCCGTGCGTCTGCGTCTCCCGTATCATCGCCACAAACTCGCTATAGTCTATTGTGCCGTCCTGCATTGGACAGACAAGTGAGCGGGGTGGGTGGGTGTAACGGGGGTGGAGGGGAAGAGAGGAGAAAGGAGAGAGAATGTGCTTATGACTGCGTCTGTGCCTTGAACACCATTGCTGCACACTCGTCGTGGTCTACCGTGACAATTTGTGAGGCGCCTGAAAGGTCCTCTGCACCATCCTGCAACAGCAGAAAAGTGGGGTTGGAAGGGAAGGAAGATACGAACATATGTATGTATATATACA